AAACGCACGTGGAGTTCCCTTGGATCGGGAGGGTTTTGCCCTGTAGTAGCTTTAGCCCCCGGCCACTCGCTCTGAACAATGGCGCCCTCTGAACAGTCATTTTCTTGCCCACGTGGGTCCCGTTCCGCCCTCCCTGTCCCGAGGTAGTTGCTGAAGTCTGTTGCGCCGCCCATGTTCAACTTCTAACGCTCCCTTTTTTTTTTTTTTTTCCTCCTGCTATGTTTTAGCCCTAGAAGACGCCGTCGCAGCCGATCTAGAAGCAGGAGCCGCTCTAGATCCCGCAGTCGGTCCCGTTACAGTCGATCCAAATCCCGGTCTCGCACACGCTCTCGGTCTCGGTCCACCTCAAAGTCCAGGTCTGCCAGGAGATCCAAGTCAAAGTCCTCGTCTGTCTCCAGATCCCGGTCCAGGTCAAGATCCCGGTCCAGGTCTAGAAGCCCTCCCCCTGCCTCAAAGAGGGAATCCAACTCTAGATCCAGGTCTAAGAGTCCTCCCAAGTCTCCGGAAGAAGAAGGAGCTGTATCCTCCTAGGAACATGGTAATGTACCTCGGAATGAGCACGTTGCATGTTACTTTATTATAGCACTTAGGTGGGGTGTTGGGTAGTTCTTAGAATATTAATGGCCTGAACCAAGCGAATCCTAACGGGGCACATTGTTAGCTGTTTTTTTTTCTTGAGCAGGGCTTTTTGGTTATTGGTTTAGGTAAATTAATACTGAAGGGCTTTCTACAGAGTATTTTTCTTTTCTTACAGAGCAAATGTTTTATTGAGAGATTAATGGCTTGGTTTTAATAAAATATTGTATGAGACACAACCTATGATGAAAATGACTATTTCTTACTGTATTTATCCAACATCTGCATTTTCCCCTTTAAAGCTGCGGTCTCCTGTTTGCTAAAAGAATATTGGCCAGTATTGCAGATTTTAACTGATTTGGCTGATCCTCCAGGGACCAGTTTCTGTGGGCGTGTATTGGAGCAGGTTTGTCTTTAAATGTTAAAGATACACTATCCTTTTATAATGGAAGATCGATTCAGTGGCCGTTATACTGACTGGAGGTAATAACTGTTCTAGAAGTGGCAAATTCCTTGCAACGAGAAAACCGTGGAAACTAGTTTTTCCTCAAGTCAACATCTTGAAGAGGCGTCTAAGGATACACCGGGTGGGGAAAGGATAGTGTGTCTTTAACCCTTCAAACTGTTTGGTCCTATTTTTAAAAGGAAAAGGCCTAAGCTAGCTCTGAAGTTAGATAATTGTAGCAAAACTAGTCACACTTTGTTTTGAATGCTAATTAGAGTTTAGTTAAGTATTTATGAAGAAGTACTAGTTTTATAACTTTTATATAACTCTAAATAACTTATTGTTGAACAGGCTGAATTGAAGTTAATGGTGGCTTGATCTACAGCCTGATGCTTAACTCTTCTTTGTAACTAAATACTTTGACAGAACCTTACATTTGGCCTCTGAAGTGAAGCAACATATGGGGGGGAGGTGGAACACTAGGGCAATTCCTAAAAATTAAATTTAATTAGGGAAAGCCAGTTGAAACACAACTAGAAGTATACCTGAAGTCATCCACACAGCCAAAAGCGACAAGGTAGAAACCTGGCTGAACTTTTCTTTCTTCAAACCTAGATGCATCAGATAAATGAGAATCCACATAAAGGACGCCTTTGGGGGGAAAAGATCGCTTGAGTCTTCAGCCCATTTGGAGAGACCCCTGGCACGAGCAACCAGCTGTTGAAAAGGTTATTTTGTAACATTTTGTCTAACTTTTTACTTGTTTAAGTTGCACCTCAAGTGGCAGATTTTACATTTTATGTGCCATTTTGTTGCTGTTATTCAAATTTCTTGTAATTTAGTGAAGTGAACGACTACCGATTTCATTATTGGCTTGGATATTTGAGGTAAAACTTCATTTTTGTTTATATAGTGCTGACTTTTATTTGAAATTAAGCTGATGGTAACTTGCTGCCTCCAGTTTGATACTGAAGAAACATGCAGCCATTATATGCTGAGTAGCTAACTTTGTCAAAAAATATTCTCAATTTTGTCTTCATTCCTTAAATAAAATTCTATAAAACTTAAATTTGAAACTTACTGTAAATGCTTTTTTTACTTTGAATTCAAATAGTATCTTCAAATTCAAATTGGTAGAAATCTTTTCAGGTGACAGTTGATATTTGAGAGCATTGTTTTACCAGACTCAATTCTAATCTCTTCTCTTATGTATTTTTGTGCACTAGGCGCAGTTGTGTAGCAGTTCAGTAATGCTGGTTAGCTGTTAAGGTGGCGTGTTGCAGTGCAGAGTGCTTGGCTGTTTCCTGTTTTCTCCTGATTGCTCCTGTGTAACGATGCCTTGTCGTGCAGAAACAAATGGCTGTCCAGTTAATTAAAATGCCTGACAACTGCACTTCCAGTCACCCGGGCCTTGCGTAAAAATAATGGAGCATACAGTGAGCACATCTAGCTGATGGTATACACACCTTATTTTTTCCAGAATGGTAAAACTTACCGACCTACATACATGAACTTACATATGAGAAATGTAATGTTAAGAAAAGAAATGGTTCATTCCTTTGTAAGTACTGATTGGTGTATCTTTTGCTTAAGACATTCTGTACTATACCCACTGTCTCTGTAGTTAATATTAAACATTTTTCTGTGTTAACTTTTCTCAACTTAATGTCTGAGTCAGCTTATTTTTAGCTTGAAAAGATTTCTGCAATTATACTGTCAATGTTTTAACTTCTATATAGTAACTGAATGCATTCTACTGCTGATAAATTTTATCCACTGGGGTTGCTTTGAAATTACTACGGGCAAACTTGACTATTATTGTGACTAACCCAAATGTTGTATGGCAAGTATTGCACACCAGAAAATAAACCCAGAATCAGAGAGGCCTGTTGGACGTTGTTACAGAAGATACACACTGAGCAGTACTAATTGCATTTGCTGTGTGCTTGCCCTGACTCAACAGGCTGCTGCTTGGTGGGAGCTAATCTTAGTGATGATGATTTTTTCTTAATTTTGATACCAAATGAACTGTAACTTCAACCATCATATGTCAAGGGTTACTGTAATGCCTTGTTAACTTTATGCATGTATGTTAAACGGGAATGGAAACATCTGAATACTTGCAATATGGCTTGATTGAGGATTAAAAGTACTTTTCTACAAACTTGATGAGTTTGTATGTTCCAGGACTGCATAGCTAGTAGCAGTCTACACAGATTGATTTAAAAACAAAGGGGCTGGCTTTTGTGTATGAATCTTTGGGAGAGAGTTTCAGTCCTGGGAAATTGATATCATGTGGATATTTTTTTATCTTGAAAGAGTGCAGTTAACTTTCCTTCATAGCTGAAGTTGTGAATTGAAGTTGGATCTTGTGGATTGTCAGGTGGTTAAGCTATGTTGTGTAGTGGCTTACATCGTGGAATTGAGTCTTTGAACTATTACCTGGTCTTTGGGGAGGAGCACAAATTTCTCAAAAGCCATAGCTCAACAATTGAACAGCTTTATTTTTACAATGCATGTTTTAAGAATTACTGTTAAGGGGATCTGCTTCCCAAAAAATACGCGTGAGGTTTGCTGTAAACAGGACTGTTTTCTGCAGATCCATGCTACAGAGAACAGTTAAGTATCTTGTATTGGAACCAACAAGTGGAATAAACTTAAGTACCATCTGATCTTCCTAGTGAGATGATCATCATTTCGATTGTATGTCTTCCTGGCAGAGAAGAGCTGGCCAAGTGCTCTTTGTCTGCACCGAACGAATGTAAGGGAATGTGGATGGCCTTCAGTTTCCATTTGCAGAGCAGGGCTTCAATAGACCAGTCAGCACTGATGGGAGGAAGTACCAGTGTGTGAACATGTCATCCACGCTTATAACTTCTGCAGCAATTACAGGAGACCCTAACAGTTCACAAGACTGAGTTTTACTGTTGACTAGAAAACTTCCAAATTTTTGTTTTGGCTGCTTTTGTCTGCTACCCCTAGGATTTACTTGACTAATACCATCCTGACTCACAATGTGCTGCCTCTGAGAAGCTAACACTCTTTAAGAGCTGAGACAGGAATTAAGACTTGAGTCTTAAACTCTTTTGCATACTTACCTTCGCACTTGATAAGTAGTCCAGAATTGAGCCTGTGGATTCTTTTCCAGCAAGAAGTAAATTGTAGTTAAAATATCTTCAAAGTCTGCATGGTTTGGGGAGATGAAGCAGTCTTGGTTAGTCTCGGGAGTCTAGATGCAATTAAATATGCCTGGTTCTATGAAATGGCAATTAAAAATCAATACAGGGCTAACTACATGTGTATGAGAGACCAGAGAAGCATGTCCTTAAGCCAGCAGTTAATCTGCACCATTTTCTATTCATCCCCCTTCGGGTGGTATTTCCATGGCAGCTTAATGCCAGCATTACACCACGTGTGACAAGTTCAGTGGCACAGGATCACCACAAAGGCTGTCACCTGATGCTTTGACACTGTTCCCAGTACTCCTTGACATGAAGTCCTTACACTTTGTCACAAATCAAGGATACGTGAGAGTATTAACGTACCTTTCGGATCAAAGAAGACATCAGATCCTAAAATAATGTCCACGGGAGGAAGAGAGAGCAGCTCCGGGGACACCCGCCCCCAGGTGAGCCCCATCACGGGGACGTGGGGCAG